TATTAAGGGAATTTTTTTTAAATCAAAATTGAAACGACATTTCCTATTTGTTCACTATGTGCAGACCTGTGGTTTTGAGCATGAAGCTTTTAACATACTCGGAATATAAATGTACCTTACATTTTTTATTACATGCGAGAGCCATCTGATTCAGTGCTATTCCATTAATAAGTAGCAAACCTTCAAATAATTAATTATTCAGCCTCATTCATAGGGCATGCTTGCTCTGCACACTGATAAAACCATGTCATGTTTCGTACAAGACTTTATTGGGTAGCCTGTTCAAACTCAAAATGTAGCTGCCTTCCTCCTTCCCTCTTTGCTTTGAATCTCAAGAGAAATAGATTTAGTCCTAATGTCACTGGAAATGCATTGGAGGTGATTGATTCAAAAGCTTAATAAATGGCATTAAATCTACATGCAGTTCACTAATCAGAGCCAAACTGATAATTGTCTCTTAAAGCCAACATTGATAGTTGAGAGTTAGAAAAAAAAAAAATATATATATAGCTTTTTATACATGAAAAAAACATTTGATAAGAAACCTTCAGTTTTGTTATCAACATGTCCAAATTTGAAGTTTAAATATAAAACTGGTAGGGCTCTGCTAACAATTATGAAATGAAGACAGTGTTTTGAATGTTTTGAATTAGGTCAAACCTATCTTTGGAATAACTGAGCTGCAATTTCATGTTACTTGTTGGCCAACCCTTATGTCTCAGAAGTGATATCCCATGCATTTGGCCTACTGATTTATAAAGGAGGGTGGTCATACTGACACTGAACAGTTACTCTGTCAATCTGTATTGACATTCAACTAAATGTATTAATGGTGTTATGAAGGTCTTACAAACATAGATGTGTATTAAACATTTAAATTCCTGAAATATACAAGTTGCCAAGTTTAACCAACAGCCCATATTTCACTGTGATTTAACATGATACATATATAAGTCTTCATGAGGCAGGAAAATAATATTTTAAATACAAAAATCAAGGTTTTTCTGATAATTGGCCGCGAATAAATTATAGCTCATATTGTCCAGTCTTACTTTGAATGCACTGCCAGTCGTTCTCACTTATTTTAAAACTGATAGTAAACAGCTTTGAGCATATCTCTTTTTATTACTGATTAACTATAGACATTAATCATCCATTACTTTTGACCTTTGACAACTCTTACAATAACCTGCATGATATCGCTTGCAGACATAGGTAAACTGTAACTAACCGTGACCGACTCATTGAGTAACAACTGTACACAATGAGCTTTAATGTTCATGTAATTGTAGAAATCAATCAGTAGTGAAAGCAGTAAGTGATGCCAAAGTAAACAGAACTGCTGCAGACCGTCATCAATTCTGCTGCCTGTCGATTGTTACTCAGAATAAATAACGACAACCTGACTTGCTACTACAGTACAGCACTCCTCACCTCTGATCTTCAACCTTTTTGGACAGTCAAATGTTTGCTCTTTATCATGCTTTTTATTATTTTTGTCAACCTTTCCAGTGCCTTACTCTAAAGGGGACAAGGGTTTTGGTTCCTACTTAAATCTGACATTTTGCTTTGTGTGTCTCTGCTTATTGAATTGAAATAATCTCCTCTATAATTCTGTCATTGTCGTAAGCCTGGGGAAGCTATAAATTAGTGGAGTGCAAAGCCATCCTCTCTTGGCTGGCCGACATCTTTAAGGTTGGCCACATTGTGTTTCTACTGTACTGTGGGTCGTAAAACACAAGAATGTTACACAACGTACATCAGGCAATAACGCGGGGAGGAAGGGGGACAGTCGCCGTGGCTTTGTTGTTGACTTTTGAAAATTCTTCTTTGATTTATGTCTAGTCTGAAAACTCTTGTGTGTCCTTTCAGCTCGCCACTGAGACAACCGTCCTCAACGGCTAAAGTGTGCCTGGTTTGTGGAGACGAGGCGTCAGGATGCCACTACGGTGTCGTGACGTGTGGGAGCTGCAAAGTATTCTTCAAAAGAGCCGTGGAAGGTATGGCAATAACTCACATTTAAACAATATATCACTGCTAAGGTCTTTTCTAGGGTTACGAAGAGAGAAACCGACCACTACAACTACAGAAAATCTTACCAAATGAAGAAAAACACAAGAAAAAAAATTGAGAAACACATTTTGCAATTTGACAACCCTTGGGGAGAACATATAAACGCACAGCAAGTATTTTTTAAAAAGCACATTGATTTGAAAACAAAAAAAAATCAAGATTGAACCCCCCAAAAAAAGACTAAGCACTGATACCTTGATCTTAAGGCAAGTTGTATTGTAGACTTCATTATTGCTACTCCAAACTAAAATAAGACCAATTCTAAACATTTTCTTTTTCTGTTTTCAAGATCTAAGTGACATTAATTTGAGAACAATTCGGTAAACAACTTTTGGCAGCTCAGATATTACAATGCAACTCCAACAAAATAAATAATAATGATATATTTTGTTAAATTCTTATCCTAAAACTGGTTTAACTATAAGAGGAGAAAGCTATTACTACTATTATACAGAAAGTTTCCTTCATGTTAAAAAAGGGCCAACATTGGTTCTTACATTTTCAAATAATTAAAAAAAATATCAAGTCAACTGACAACTTTAGCCCATCGAATTGTTGGTGGATGTACTGCTTTATTTATTCACAGTAGATTCCAGCTGGGGATTTTTTTTTACAAGTACACCTTAACATGTGGCACAACAACAGCTATTCCAACTGGGAAATGTTAATAAGAAAATGTGTGCAAACTCTGCTTCAGTAATATTCAAGATAATCACCTTCTTCCTGATAGAATATAGTTGGAAAAGTTCCCTTTTAGACGAAGCAGAAGTTTAGCAGCCTGGTCATATTGTTCAGGCAACGTCAATCCATTTTCGTATAATGCTTGTTTTATTTGCACTACGCTTGTTTATGCCACAAACTACTGTTTAATCTCTGCAGACCTTGTACTTATTTATTTTTTCTAAAAGATCATTAAAATAACCAAAATGATGGTATGTACATTTATAGACTGTGACCAAAATGAACGGAACATAAGGAAAAAAGAAAGAGAAATCATTCAGTGGTCTATTCTCCTGTAGCAGTGCTTTATGTTATATTTAGCCGAGGGGAAATCAGCAGCAGCCATAATGTGCTTTTCATTTTGTGCCTGTCGCCTGAGGCGTTGGCCTCACTCATTAAGATGAGTGTTTGAATGCAAAACACACTCTTTCAGAGCAGTGCAGATGGGAAAAACAAGCAAACAAGCCTGCAAGTCAGCCACCAGGCCCTCTAGGTGTTTATCTGACAGTTAGAGGAATTGCACTCATTCCCAATCAAATCATGCCTTAATTTGATGATATTTACACACCGTCATTACGGAGCCCTGAAACCAGATTATGTGTCAGGGGTTATCAAATCAGACATGCGATTGTTCTTGCTTCAAGCACGGCCAGCAGAGCGCCGGTGGCAGATGCTAAAGGTCTGACTTTGTGTGAGAGTGTTAGTCAGGTGAGGCTCTGAACAAATCGGATCGCTAAAGGCTTTGTGATTACACTCCTGAAGCCCTATTTGTATCTCAGATGGAGTATAATTATACTGAAATCGACTCATTGATTATGAGATGCCCTTTAAAGCTAACGCAGTACTTTATGAGTACCTCTACGTTTACGACTGGAGTTTCCTCTTGACTCTGTGCTGCCAAAAAACTGCATCTGTGCAAACTATCAAAGCGTGAAAAGGGCGACCCGTGTGATGTCATCAAGGTTGCGTGAGAGGTGTGCGTCCTTCTGATGTGCAAAGCGAGCCGTTACTTCACATGACCCCTCCACAGCTGCTGCTGAGGTGGAAAGAGAGAGGTAAGGGATGAAAATAGGGAGCGAAGGATTTTGCAAAGTGAAGAGAGATAGAGGACAGTGAAACAGATACAGCCAGGGCGGGGGGGAGGAAGGGCAAAGGAAAAGTCAGACAGAGAGATAAAGGGAGGAGGAGCTGGGAGAGGGAGTAAGACACAGGGAGAGGGGTGGAAAATGATGTGTCAGCAGTGAGCGTCGGAGAAGTTAGGACGTGAGAAGACGTTTTACTCCTCCCCTCTCCGAGTAATTCCTCCTTCTTCTCCTCCTCTTTTCTCGCTTGACATGTGAGATATAAGAGAAGAGCGCAGAGATTGGGCATCTGTAGAAGGGGAATAATCCAGACCATGTCTAATTTATTTTGGCAGTGCCTGCCTTGGGGGACAATACGTTTCGATCGGCTGTAGCTCATTAGACGACTAAGTGGCTCACAGCTTTGCTACAGAGCTAGTTAGTGTTGTGGAGTCATCAACAAATCTAATAAAAATACTGTGGAGTTTCTGCTTTCCCCTTCATCACAGTCATTGTGAGGTAACTTTATTTTACATCACCAGAGCTTGGCACTCTTCTTCTTTGAAGTCTGCATGTTAGGTTTACATTCGTCTATCTGTTTGAAATATATTTTGGCCACCTGGGCCTTTTACTGTCCAAATCTATGCTTTTACATTCCTTCTCAAGAGGGGAAATATTCATTCCACTAGATATTGTCATATCTACTGAACCAGAAGGCACAGCAAACTGTGGTGCATAAAGTAAATAATCACAGTCCCAGGAAACATATAGAAATACTTAATTATAAGCAGAGCTCCGACTTTTCAAAATGCCCTCAATTCATTCTTTAAGCTTTCACATGATAACTTATTTATAAAGGAGATGTTCTTCCCCTTTCTCTCCTATTATCTACAAGTCATCCAGTTGTTCTCATACATAATGGCAGCTCTTAGATTCACACCTTTTAGTCCCATACTCTTGTATAGTAAACAAACATTGAAGGGTAATAACTTTTATGAAGTTTACAAGTGATGCAGTTTTATAACTACTGTTGACTTAACTGTCACATGCAGCCGATGAGGCTCTTTTGAAATGAATTTTTTTTTAGGATAAACATTTATCCTGAGCTGCTGGAAAATGCCTTCTGACACAAAACAACAGTTTGTAAATGCAGGTTATCATCGCTAATGAAATGTGGAAATATCTGAATGCATTCATATGTGCCTCTCTGCTGCATCCATTCCACTAAAGACTAGTTTGTTGATACAAGACAGCTGCACTCAATAAACGGCTCCATATGGAGCGCATTTGAAGAGTTGAACGCTAGCTTATTATTCACATGTCATCAGTGGCTTGGCATGTCTGCTCTTTGCAATTGTACCAGGCGCTGCTTTTAGCTCGCTTTTTTGCTGTTCTCTTATTGAACTGAGAGATTTACAGAGACATTAGTCAACCTTGTTATGGCCTCACTGTGTACTGCAATGTGACTGGGTCGTGGTTTCCTTGGCGCTTTTGTCAATCTAAAAACCTTTTCCTCGGCACCGCCTCTGTGGGAGAGGTCATTTAAGGACACGGTTCTGACTGTTTCTGCCTGACTGGCAGCTCTGCTGTCCAATCGCAACTTTTTCAACTCAGGCCGGGGGATTAGAGACCGCCCACCCGTGCCGGAGTGAATGCTTCAGGTTGTGTGTGAGGGGCCCATGTAACAACGGCTGAAATGAAGCCATTCAGCATTGTTGCCTGGATTACAGCTCCACAACACATGTCTCACATCCGGGCTGCTTTGATCAGAAAAAAATTACAACATAAATACAAGCACAATCACAGCTGCAAATCTAACCAGGCATGCACACATGCATGGAAATGCACATCTTCATAAGTGGTATAGGAATTCAGGTGTAAAGCTGTAGGTTGAAATCTGCGAAGATAACTGTAAGTATTTGTGTGACCCACATTGCGAATAGGCATTTAGCTTGCAGCCTGAGAAAGGGTCTCTCTTATGCAACATATTCACTGTCACAGCATGTGTGTGCATTTTACATCCTTACTGCCCCATAATCTACAGAGACATTCAATATACAGTACACAGGCTGCAACAAAAAAAGTTATAGCAATACATTAGCTAGTTTATTTTGGTTGGCTTTTAATTGATTGAAAAAGGTATTTATCCAGGAAAATATGAAAATACAAAAATATACTAATTTCATCCTAAGAAATAAACACAGCAAATCCTTAGATGTCAGAAGCTGGAGCCGGCAAATATTTGGTGTTTTGGCTTCATTTGAACTAGCTTTTGACTAATCAATGAATTCAGCACTACAGTATTTATAGAATGTTGCCTAAACATGAAGCCTCAGAAACAGGTGTGCTGTATGTTTACGGCTCATATGAGGATATAACTCACTCATAAATGCACAGACAATACTTCCTCTGTGGCCTTCATTCCTCTGGCCTGGGCTGACTTGCAGCCTGATGGCTCCTCGTGGAAATAATCGGAGCCCCATCTCTTCCTGCTCCCCGGTGATACCTTTGTTCTTTGACATGAATGCAAAAAAGATCTGGTGCAGTCAGTGGGTTAAACCTTTTGTGTTCAACCAATAAGCAGTGCCAATCTGATGAGCGGATACAAAAGCGTTTTGGCATACCTTTTTTTTCAAAGCCTTAATGCACCACAAGTCAAATGCACTGGCTCTATAAATAAGAAATACATACAAGTGGCAGAAAAGCTGCTTGGTCCATACTGTATGAGCAGAATTAGGCAGAACTACTTCATGCATTTGTCCTTCGAAATATGAGTTTAATCTGTTGGAAAAGCATTTATCTAATGTTTCAATATACATAAAATCAGCTTTGATGAAAAATGAGGTACAAAGTTGTTTGCATATTTCTGATGTAACCCTAAACACATTTGTAGTGTTTGATAAATTGGACAGGGAATAAAGCCAACATTGTTTGTCAAGACATTTAGAAAGTAAGGAACTAACTCTCTAAATGTATTGACAAACTTTTGTAGTGCTGGACTACAGTTAAAATGCAGTGGGGATGAGTGCTTTATAAACACTGCCATAACTGGCTACTTTTGTATTTTAGACATCTCCATACCATTATAATTATTCAGTGCAATATAGCACATGAGAAAACATTTGTAAGAAGGAAATGCACATGACAACAGTTTCCAGATATAGTAGATTGTTATAGAAGTAGTGGGATTAGTAAATACAATAACTGCCCTTTTTCACATCCTATTTTTATCGTTGCACCCTCTTTTTCAGAATGATTCCAGCAGGGAAACCTAATTGTGTAGAGCCCCATCCAACACAGCTGTTTGTGTGTTGTCCAAAGAACTGAAGTCTCAGTGTTATTGCAAGGCAGTGATTTGCATACTGCTGGCCCAGTGGTAACAACAATAACATCTCAGCTTTGCCTGTTTTTTTGATAGTTTGGTATTTGTGTTGGGTATGTAATTTAGGTTGCATAAATACTCCTGAATGACGATCACAGAATTGACCAAATGCTTTGATAGTGGATAATTAAATGGCATCGATCTGTGAGAGTGACATAGTTATGAGCACACCCTTTATGCACAACTTACATCTGCAGGTCTTGCTTCCAAGAAATCTGCAGCTACTACTAAATGCCATTCAGAGAGTCAGTAGAACTATTGATGTGGGTCAGCTACTGTGTCTGAGGCTATTTACACAATCCAGGCCTGTGCCACCTGTGTCTATTGGCTGTTCGATTATGTCAGGTTAAAGGCTGTATTTTAGCAATGACCTGAAATCTGTCTGTTTGTAAAGCAGATGTTCTGTAGCTATGCTGGTAGCAGAAGGCCTGCAGGGCAGATTACCTTTGTTCAAGTGGGATCCCCATAGGAAACAGTATTTCCCTTTCAGAAGAATGTCCTCATAACTGATGTATGCTTGAGCTGACAGACAACAGAGGCTATTCTCAGCGGGTTGTTGCCAGATTGTGAGATCATTAGCTTAAATTAGATGTGAGTGGACTCCATTAAAAAAACTCTGGAGAATGCTGACAGAGTGCATTGTACTAGGAGACAGAATGTTTAGAATTACCTATTGAATACATTATGAGCAATCTTTTATCTTGTTTATGGATTATCATGCAGATCTTTGTTTATGATGCGCATGACTCAAAGTTACTTCATAAATTAACTTTTTTAAGGAAAAAGTTATTTTGTTAAAGGTGGGGTAGGTAATTCACTTCAGAAACACTTTTTGTTATATTCCATGGAATGCTCTTAACATCCCGATAGCAATGAATACATTAAATGCTTTGACAATAAATATATACAAATATTTCATCTGTGGAAGCCGTGGCGCTGTAAAAAGCTAGTCCAATTATCTGCCTCGGCCCGCGGCAGATTATTGGATGGCCTACCTGCCTGCCTTCCATCTCGTGCACAAACTTATCTCATGCCCTCATTGGTCATGTGCGTGTTTGTATGTGTTGGAGGAGGGGCTCTGTAAGGAAGTCGATTTTTTTCGGTTGTCTATTTTCAAATTCTAGCTTACTCGAGCTGGTTTCTTCATTCTTACCTACCCTACCTTTAAAGTAAAACTGAAAAAGTAGCATTCATCAGTAGCCTACCACCTACCTGGTTGAAAAGCAAATGCACATATTCAGAGGTTAACATACTTTGCAAGGGCATGAGAATGCCTGCGCACAGAGCACGCAAATAAACAACTTCTCTCCCTTTTCAGATAAAACACACACACACGTGCACACATCTGTGCGTGCACCCACACACACACCACGACTCTGCCTGTCTCTTAAAGTGTATTTCACTCTAACAATTATTAACGAGATTCACAGGAATGAGCAAAGCAGTTGACAGGAAGGCTTCAGAGTTTTTCAGAATGGCCAATTGGTCCGGCCTATCCAAGCGAGAGTGTGTGTGTGTCTATGCGCGTGTGTGTGTGTGTGTGTGTGCGTGGACAAGGGGGGTGGGAAATGGGATGGCTGCGTTGTATTTCCTGTGTCGCAGTTTACTGTTTTTTAGAGCAAGAAAAATGGGCTTATGTAACGGTCATGTGATTTAGCCAGAAATAGTGGTGGGGCTACAGCTGCTGCCTCTCCTCCTGCAGCTCGGTTCCTTGGCTTTTGGCAGCAGCCAGACAGACACACTGCGCACTACTCCTGTTAGCTCAGAAAACAACTTCTGCTCAGTCCTACACACAAATACAAATACTGTACTGTATATGCAACAAAGGCAATGCACCAAATGTACATGTTTGGGCAAACTGCGTGTAAACAACTCGCAAGCTTTCACGCTCAGACTCAGGTCTGTGCCATAAATCTCAAGTACTTCTGAAGAAATAAACGATGCACGGCGAACATGCGAGGAAAATTAGATTGATAGACATTGACTGGCAGTCATGTGCATTCACACAACTGTACACAATCTGAGATGTGCTCACAATTTACAGCAAGGCTAATCGAGCTAAGCCATGTACAAGGGTCATTGGGGGTCACTACACCACACTATACCACTCCATCTGGGTTGTGTCATGAACTCCATGTGTGTGTATTTGTTTGTGAAAGCAGATACAACATTTTTTTTAATTAATTAATTGCCAAGTGGAGCAGCCTTGTGTGTGTGTGCATGTGTGAGAGCGGGCATACATGTGTGCATGCGGAAGTGAGAGAGTGGAAAGTGAATGATTGTATGTGTGCACGAGCATGAGCCTGTCTGTGTGTGGGCGTATGGCGCTCTGAGGCTGGCGGACGTGTGGAAAAAGGGAAAAAGGAGGGATGGAGACACAGGCGTAGAGAAGGAGAAGAGTGGAGGAGCTGTACAGTGAAGAACCAGTGAAGCGAAAGGAAGCGCTCTGAAATGGGAGATCATTGGGTTTAGCTAAGGGCTAGGCAGGAGGCAGGAGGGATTCTCGCCATGTTAGCATCACTGTCAGGAGTAGTGTAGCTGCAGCCAGTGTCCTGGTTCCAGCGAATATTAATACCCTCATGCCATATACTGTAAAATACACCATTAGTCATGCGTTGTAGAAAGTGAGAGCGGAATAATCACAATTTCAATCATTTTCTCAGTGATAATCATGAAATGTAGATCTGTGATATTGCTAGACATTTCACGGGTTGCTGTATTGACCTACATTACAGTCGGCGACAGAGACTCGAATCAGACATTCACTTCTGTTCGTGCTGTCACAAATATACAACTATTATTCAGTAGTTTATAGGTTAGCCTCCTTTTTCTTATTTTTTTATCTTTGTTGCACGTAACTCTAAAAATATCACAAATGCTGCTCTGTGTCAAACTGCATGTAAGGTTACCTAATGCTGTGTCATGTCTTTCTATAGGTCAGCACAACTACCTGTGTGCCGGGAGAAATGACTGTATCATTGACAAGATCCGAAGGAAAAACTGCCCGGCATGTCGCGTACGGAAGTGTCTGCAAGCTGGAATGAACTTAGGAGGTGAGGAGTCACACCCCCGATACAGATCCGCCCTGTCACGTGTCTCAGATGTGGCATTTGAGTCAGCCTTGCTTTGCTTATAAGAAATGATAAATATGAAAAAGTAGGTCTGGCTGTATTCACAGGAGGTCCAAGGAGGATGCTGAGTCATAGGATGTTTGTGTGTATGTGTTTGTATATAGTATATCTGAGGAAATATGCATAATGCCTTTACAGAAGGTGTGGATCTACATTACTCTATACAATGCCAGCTGCAAGTTACGGTATTGTATTATGAGGAAAGACCACACTGTAGATGTGGAATGAAATATATTCATTTGTCGCCATTGGCTTATTCCAATTCAGGGTCACAGTGGCATACTGTGGCTAAAGGCATTCTTTGTATGTTCTTAGTCCGTTAGAGTTATTGGAATTACAAATGTTATGTTTCACGACAAAGCTAAATTTAGACATTAATGTAGTATTGAAACATTTGGTAGAGGTGACTAATTACTTAAGAAAACAAAAAGGGGGCCAAGAGGAAAAAAACCTTTCAAACATGCAGCTACTGTTACTAGGAGTAGTGCTTACAGACCCTTTGACTGATGAAGGGATGTTTCCGGAGCTTTATTAAACTGGAAGATTAATTAACACTTGTTGTTATGCACAGTTGAAAGTGCAAGGAAAACCCAGGTGTTGACAGAAAACGAACACATTCAATATATGATGTAATATAACAAGCATAGGAGGACTACTATCAACAACCAGCGCAGTATGACATGTGTTTTATCTGGATGTGTAGTTCTAAAACAGCAGTCAGATTATTATTGCCAGATTTTTCTCAAGAATCGTAAACTACAAAAACAGTAGAATGGTAATAATGAGGTAAAAAATGAATAAACATTTCAGTAATGAGTTTACTCTTGTTTGCATTTTGTTCAAGGCCAGTGCCTTTGAATATTACAACACATACTAAATCTAATCCTGACCTCTGATATTAGAACATTTAATACACAAAAGGGCACTGTTTGGAGAAATATACTGTACATGCAGCAGAAGACGCATTCCAGAGCGAAATAGTAGGTACAATAAAGTCAGCTTAAACTTCAGTTTCACTCATGCACTGTCATTTACTATGAAAACCAAATGAGATACAGAGACATCTGACACAGACATGCTTTATACACAGGGTGTAGCCACCTATGACAATGCCCCTCAAACAACTTTGTTGAAATGTAGAAATAAAAACCTATTCAAAGTGCAGAGTACAGATCACTACCAGGAGTGTCTCCCCCTTAAGCCAAGTTGAATCTCACTCAATTTTCCCTCCCAAACATTTATAACAGCATTCACTGTAAACAAACACTGTGCAACCTTTTTTTCTCCTAGATAGAACATATTATAAATAAACGTACATACATGTAAATACATATTCATATTTTGAAATGATTCCTGTAAATGTTCTCATTGTAGTTAAAACCTCAGATTATGAATGTAAGGAATGCCACCACCGACAATGTGTTAATGTGTTTTGTCGTTTTCCACACAGCACGAAAGTCCAAGAAGTTAGGGAAGCTGAAGGGTGTCAGCGAGGACTCTAAGGACGGCCAAACTGCCACAGGTGGTATCGGAGGCGGTTGCCTGCCGTCAGAGAAGGAGCTCAATGCTAGTGCTGCCAATGCCCTGGTGCCCCACGGACCCGGGGGGGTGACACCTTTTCTGCCACCCTCCATCTGCAGTGTGTTGGAGCTTATTGAGCCTGAAGAGGTGTACTCTGGGTATGACAACACGATGCCCGACACCACTGACCACCTGCTGTCCAGTCTCAACCGCCTGGCCGGAAAGCAGATGGTACGCATGGTGAAGTGGGCCAAAGTACTTCCAGGTTAGTGACCACCAGAGCGATGTGCTGAGTCCTTAATGCTGTTTAAGAGAGGCTTTTAGAAAAAATACAGAATTGGAAAAGAGAGGGAAAAGTGCCCTCAAAAATACATGTTGAGAAATAAAGTGTGTAAAACAGGTTATATTTTATGATGATGGTAACAATGTTAAGTGTGTACTCCTCTTCTTTAAAAAAAAAAATACTGGCTTTGATTACTTCATTAGATTAAAAATGGCTTGTTAATCCAGAACATTACATTTTTTCAGTGCAATACAATGTATTGTACCTTCTAAATTTCCGCCATTTTTACTTTAATAATATTGTTTTATAATTACTTTTTGGTTAACGAAGAAATTACAACTTAGACATGGATGAGTCAAAAAATGGTAAGTGCTAAAAATATCTATTAAATCATTAAACTGTAAATATGTGTAGGGCTTTCATCTAGAATAAAATGCCTAAATCTTCACTTTCTCTATTTTTGTCAGCAATTTTAATTCAAAATATAAGGTCTGGAAATAATCTAGTAAAGCTTCAACAAGATTAGAAAGTAAATCCAATTTAACCATTAAAACAAATCAAGATTAAGATTTCCATTCCGAACTCATTTCATCATCGTTCTCAGATGTTATGTTGAACAGAAGATTTAATTGTAACCTATAAACCAAATCACTGGAAGACATTTTTTCTTTTTTTAAATGGGATAAACAAGTCTCCCTAAAATGCCAGTCAGTGGAGACATATTGAAAGATGCCTCACAGGTAGCTCTTTGAGGCTGTTTAATTTGCTGTATTGCAAATATTTGATACCTCCACGGTGTCTGCTTGCCATATCCGGACGTACTGTATAAATAGAAGGAGAGCCAGACAGAAGGGTCAAAATGAGTACCTTCGACTTTCAGATATGCCACTGCCTGCATTCAGCTAACATTCAGATGTGACATGGTCCAACATTGTTGGCACCTGCAATTCCTTCTCAGGGAAGTCAGACTTGTTTGTCAATGTGAGATATTTTATTAGCACATACTTTTCTGATGTCTTGTTACCGTTAACGTTGCCCAAAAATTGATAAACAGTCGTCCAACTGTACTAGGTTCATATTTGAATCATCAGCCAGCCCTGTACTGAATACACAGCAAATATAATTTCACTAATGATTGTGTTTTGCAGATAAAGATGCATATTTTCTAAAATAGTCCTTAAGCCTTTATAAGTCACTTGTGTGTCCTCAGTTGGCCTATGTTTTGCATGGGAAGGGGTATCTTGCCAGAGTTTGATTGAGCGTTTGGCAGGTTTCCTATTGGACTCTATTTTTGGAGTTCCATAGACAACAAGCCAATAACTGGAGGCCTTTTGGGATTTGCACAAAACAAGAATGGGTAAATACTTTTCATTGGCTGCCATGTTTAAACAAAATATAGCCACAAAAAAAGCACACTGTTGCAAAATACACAGTGAAAAATGCATGAACAGACAAACAGGTACACACACGCAGCTGAATACAAGTCTCTAAAGTTGGCGCTTAAATGCCTAAAAACCAATGTGTGAGTATTTTTGGCTACTTTTAAACATAGTCCTTTCCTCTCATCAGTTCCGCCTGTTTCTGCTATGTGTCTGTTTTGTGTGTTAGGTTTCCGAGGCCTGCCCATTGAGGACCAAATCACCCTGATCCAGTATTCGTGGATGTGTCTGTCCTCCTTCTGCCTCAGCTGGCGCTCCTACAAACACACCAATGCACAGATGCTCTACTTTGCCCCTGACTTCATCTTTAACGAGTAGGTCTACACTTCAATATCTGCAGTGTACCACACACATCTCGCTACTTTTAAGATATTACCAGTCCTGACATTTAGCTTCTTTTTTTTTCATTATGCATTTGTTCAACCTTTTTTTGTCTTCAAATGTAGCAATGAGAAGAAGTGGGCCCAGGACCATCACCTGTTTTTATAGTACAAGCTTAAAAGAAGTTCTCTGTTTTCCTCACAAAGACATGTCTACAACAGATGTATCTTTCAGACTATATCATTAGTAGATACAGTAATTGGTTCACTAGTCAGGCTTTGTCTATTAGTAGTTTCTGCTATTTTTTAGCTCCTAATCGGATGCAAATCTATGCATAAACATTCAATTTCCAAGTATAATTTGAGGAAGTAAGGAGTGTATTTTCCTTTAACACTATTTTTGAGCGTCTTATTAACATACCTGACAACTATTCAAAGGACCAAATAGAGTTTCTGTAATAAAAACATGTTTTTATGAAGCTGTGGGTTTAGGTAAACAAAGGTCGTAATCTTTTACCTGATCTTTGAAACCTCCCAAGGAAATGCTTTTATACCTTTTGATGGATCCCTAATTGCATAGGGCACACACGTTTAAAGCAGTGCAGTCACTGGTCCACTTGATCTGTGTTGATACGTTTAAACAAGAGAGCAGGTGTGAAGGAAATGCATGTGGGCCTTTTCTTGTTGGAGCTGTGCTGCATGGCAGCTGATGAATTGGATGTATTATAATTAATGAAAAAGGAGAACAGCAGCCTCTGTAGGCAGCCTGCTGTAGAGGAGCGGGTTCAGTCAGGGGCAAGCGCTTTAAAAGCTCTAACTAATAGTTTGTGTAAGTGAATGTCAGGAGGTCGGCTTGTCCCAAATAAACAAATAACTAAACAGCGCAAATGCCATTGTGCAACACAGCTTCAGCCTGTGTTGGATCCCGTTGAGGAAAGCATTAGCTTGGTACATCAGAATTTATCTAATCAATTTAGTGCGGTGACATGACAACAGCTTTTAGAGATCATCACATTTCTCAAAGAGACTTAATGGTTTATGTCATTTGGCAAGTTCAGTTTGGAATAAGTTTTAACAGAGACAAATGTTGGAATACCACTTGCATGTATGATAACTTAATTTGCAGGCTTATACAAAATAAATCAAAATTATAGATATGTTTTAGCTGTAGACTACACTACGGTTAAAGCTGCTGCAGTTGCTGCGTGTGATTTACAGTGCGCCTGTCCCACTGACGGATGGGCCTGGCAGCGTGAGGAGATGAGATGTAGTCCTGCTGGAGAGGTGGTGGCCTGGATGTCACTGCCATCTCTACTCACTCCTTTTGGGCCTGTTATCAGGTTGAGGTGTGTTGCTGGCTAGTTGTTAATGTACAACCCTCTCTGTTGTTTAGTTCATTGATAAATCTGTCAAAAACTTGGGCGAAATTGTTCCATAACTTAGTTTTCCGGGGGTTTGATAATGTACACTTGTTTACGTAGCACTTAGTGCTTATTGACTCCGTGGATTAAGGCATTTATTGAATTGACTCTCCGCTCACTCGGCTATTAGAGTGGGGTGTGTCACTGATTGAGTGTAAATACTGCGAAGACAGAGCATTTTACACTAAAAACAAAGCATGCCTGCATAATCCGTGTCATTTAGTCTTTGATGATGTGTGTTTTTCATTCTAAGCGCTCACTCTTGATTCAATTAATGTTTCAAGTAGCAGTGAAGACATTTAGTGTATCAACTACGTGAAAAGTAGAAATTGTAAGTAATATTCCCCAAAAAGTTGCACTAAGTTACACTGTCTTCAGAGACAATATAGAAAAGATAAAAGACAAATAACAGTTGATTTTCTGTCTTCGAAGAGAGCGTTTTTTGTACGGCCAAAAATATCCTTTTCATTTTAATCTAAATTGTGCAACTCTATAATTGTCTGACAAGACAGAGACCAACAACCGGTGAAAATTGCACTTTTAATGTCATATTGCAGGCAAGAAGTATAATTAGTTAGTCAGCTGAAGCAAATAGAACAGCTAAAATTGTACCTGTGAGTGTTCAGATGCTATCCGCTGGTTTCTTTTTTGTCAGTACCATTACTAACAGAAAACACTGTCAATGGCTTGATACCTCCAAGGATGTATAAAGAGAACTGGACACAGCGTCGGAGGCATGACCCCATTCCTTCCTTTTAAAGTAGCTCAGTGACGTATGAAGCCTTAATGGACTGATTCAAGAGTAAAAGTTCCCGTAGAGGGCACGCCAAGCCCACAGGAAGTGCGCCGGACTCTGAGGCAAAAATGTGTTGTGTCCGAATGGCGGTACTACAATTTCCCTATCAGTCCGTGACGTCACCCGGCCCAGAACTAAATAAACTACCCAGTATGAACTATTTTATAGCCCTTATTAGAATCATTAGGTCCTTAAAGTTGTAAAATGCATTTAAAGCCGACTCTGGATTTATTTTCTCTCTCCATTCTAGTGAGCTGTGAGTGGGAGCTCGGGGGGCGGGGCTTAAGGGGCGCATGCTCTGTGAGCGCACATACGGGTTCTTCTGCTCTGACAGCCAGGCATGACGGGTAATCTGTGCCATTTCGCTCTCTCAAAAGTTGGGCCATTTTGCCTTCATGTGCCAATGAGCAGCTCTCATAGGAAAGAACGAAGAACGAGACCCCACCTCCTACGCTGTATCCAGTTCTTATTAGAAAATAACTACAGATTTTGGTTTTACCACATTATAGCTTTTAGACCCTAATGATTTCAAAAATGTCCCGAATTGGGATCAATAAAGTACCATCTTATCTTATATTAAGGGCTATACAAATTATATAAATAAATGATCCCCCTATTTACAGACGTCTCTTTCCCAATGTAAGTACATTGGAAAAGGTATTTTTCATCACAAACTGAAGTTGTAGTATCACTGTTGGACCGCTGCAAAGACTCCCAAAGTCCCATTAGGTGTGCGACTGTATAGTGGCCCATCCACTCAAAGGCCTGAAGGCAAAATGAGAATTTGAGAAGTTCTGCACTATTCAAACATTTGAACACAGTATATTTAGTTTGTTTATTTGCCACAATATTTGAGTGTCAAAAAAATACATTTCTGTTGTTGTTTTTCTGTTTTGTTTATACATACTTTTCCGAGCAAACACAGTCTGTTTGCTTTTTCCAGCTATAGGTGAATGTGAACTTTTTCTTCAGTTCTGTGCTTCTTCCTGAATCTTTTAGCATAGACTCAGAAAGTGAGTGTGAGTTCAAGACTGAGAGAAACAGTGAGAGATATAGAGAGATGAGAGAGAGGGAGAGGGAGAAGGTGAGAAGTAGAGATTTCTGCCAGGTTTTTTCTTTCCTGCCTTCCTAAAACCAGCAGCTCATTTTGGGCAGTGAATCAGCAAAATTGATTTCAGGAAGAGAGTGTGAGAGTTGAAGTTTTGATAGGGTGGGATGGAGGTGGTGATTGGTAATGGTGTGTGAGAGAGAGAAAGAAAACGTGTGGAGACTTTTTAAAACTCCAGCTCAAAGTTTAATCATATGATGTTAAGCTGCACTTTGTGAAGCTGCTTGCATACACAGTGCTCTGAAAACAGGTCTGCTTTTCTCCCAAAAGTCATTTAGTTTTGCTAACACTCCAAAATCTGTCCTATGCTTTAGTGGAGATATAATGGACTCGTTTCCATTTGGCTTCTCCTGGCCCCTTCCATCAAATGTTTAGTCTAGTTGTTATCAGAGATAAATCTCCACCCTCACTGCCATGTAATGATGCAGTTTTACTCCAAACTCTTTCAAGTCATGCCACGTCACTTGCATTTAATGACTAAAGCCTCAATGTGGTGGTGATTTATGGCAAAGCTAAATTGCATCTGAAGTCAGAGATTTTCTTGAATTTGCGGCATCTGCACAGCACATTTCTGATTGGCTCACACTTTATCCCCTACTAATGTTTCTTTCCTGTTTTTGTGAACTCTGTGACGTAACCGAGATTATTTTGGGGATAACATGTGCATGAGGGAGAAGGGGAATAAGAAAAAAAATGTACTGTATGCATGACAATCATTTGGAATTGCTTTGCGCAGTTAATGATGCATGGTCGACACATCCATGTACATAAACCTGTTAGGCAAACATGTTCATGTGTGTGTCATTTCTGTCAACATTAATATGTTTGAAATGACACCTCTTTAGATATGTTTCTATGGTGACTCGGGTAAGATATCGAGACTGACATAGGCTTGCCCAGCTTTAGAAAAGTGGTGCATCTGTGCTGTGATACTGTACGCTGCACCCTGCTATCTGAGGGGATTTGGTATTCTGCTCCAAGCCCAGACTAGCGAGATCCTCCTCTGCACTGTGTGGAAATATTGCTTCACAACCACTATGTAAGAAATGAATTAGGAGTTATTTACATGGAATTGTGACATCAAATCTGAATGAATAAATGAGTATGACGATAAGTGAGTAATAATTGGATAGTCACTAATACTGATACATGAGTTCTGACTTCCTACTACTCTTTGTGAAGCCTAATGTCCTCTTCTTATCACATTTTTCTCCTTTCTTTCTGAATTTCTCCAGGGACCGCATGCAGCAGTCAGCCATGTACGACCTCTGTCTGGGCATGAGGCAGGTGAGCCAGGAGTTTTTGAGACTGCAGCTAACCTACGACGAGTTCCTCTCCATGAAGGTCCTCCTGCTTCTCAGCACAGGTAGGCACTGAGCTGCAGGCACTGCGAGAGCACTCATTTATTCATTCACACTACAGTGTCACCACAAGCACAAATTACCAACTGTATAATGACAATGTTGTCAACATCAATTCCATGCAATAATTAATTGAAATGTCAGGCTTTCCATAACACAAAATTACTAACAAACAATACAATTAATATTAATGTTGGCTTTAAGGCATACAGACTAGTGACTACTTACATAGTTCAGTACCACTTTAGACCACCTTTGTGCCGGATAACAGCTTCCACATGTCATGACAATAACTGAACTGTAGTGTCCCAAGTAAATTCGATCATTTTTTTACATTTCATTTAAGGTGGATGCTCCTTTCTTTAGATGCTGCATTCAAAGTTGTCCCTACAGTGTTCAAGTGGGATGACTCAGGTTATTATTTTTTTAATCGATCAAGGCATCCATGTCCCTTTAAACTATTTCTGGACTGACGGCCCCTACACACGGCGGCGTGCGTTGTCGCTTGCCGGCGGCTGAAACTCGACCAACAACCAATCACATGAATCTCCCGCCCCAGACACACAAGCACGCGGTTTGATTGGCTAGAGCTTGTACTGGCATATGATTCGATTGGCTGACGCCTCCGTCGAGGCGTCAAAAGTAGAACATTGCTCTACTTTTGCAGCGAGCACCGCGAGAGAAGCTACGCTTTGCTCCCACAATGCAGTTCGGCGAATCGTGACGTCACCCCATTCAAAGTGAATGGGCAGAAGCGTTGAAGCGGCAACGCACGCCGCCGTGTGTAGGGGCCGTAATCTTGCTCTATGACCGGAAGCTTTTCTCTCGTTGAAAGTACTGGAACTAGGCTGCTCAAATAGACTCTATAAACACAAGATACAGGTAAAGGTACTCCGGCCAACATCTCCCACATTTCTAAACCATGAGACAGCCTCTCACATGGGAAATGTATTGATAAGGTGTCTTGTAATCTGTAACATCCACAGCACACCTTTGAGACCGTTTTGGCAGTGTTTGTACCCTCCTTCCTAACACCCACGATAGTGCCATTTTTATTCAGTTAGATTTGTATTCATGGTAATCTGTTCAGATGCCTAACAAGCGTGGAAATAGACCTGATGTTGCATGCACCTGTTTGTGTAGCAGCATACAGTTTATGCAAATGGGAAAGGGATCAGCGTCTCTGAGCGAATGCTGCTCTGTTTTATATTATTTGATTTCGTAATTGCCAATGGACAAACAGAATACGTCTATCACTCACTAAAGAAGGTCCTGTCGTGTTGCCACTCTCTGCCAAACTGCGCCCACAGGCACTGAAGCTTCACAGAGAGGATGTGTTGGGAAAAGTTGCTCATAACTGAAAGCCCTGGTTTTTCCACCGTAAGTTAAACAGTAACAGTAAAAAAAGTCCTTGATGGCAGCTGTGTCATATCTTCCTTCCACACCCAGTCGCAGCTACACAAAGCTCAGAACTCACTGGGACAGGTCCTGCTTGCATTTATTCATACATCCACGTGATGCCCTTATCTCTGTTTGTCTTTTTGTGTCAATAGACAAGCAATATTTAGAGAGGGAGTGAGGTGAGCATACTGTAAAGGCCGGAGAGGGAGAGTTGTGGGGAGCTATTTGAAGAGTCTGCATGCTGGCCAGACTTCAAACTCTTTGGACGTCATCACCAATGCCAACAACGTTAATATCCATTGGCAGTCTTTTTTTTTAGTTCTCTGAAAGCTGTGCGTGAATTCTGGACTAGTGAAAACAAAACCATGTTTAACTTCATCCTCACAAAGTTTTAACATTTTACATTTATGCCAATAATTGACAACATAAATCGAAGTGAGTTATTAAGTCATATAAGAAGTTCTGTATCAATTAGCATTAAAAGCAAGGTAAAGGTCAAAACTGCTCATACTATGCAGGCTGATATTTAATTGGCTTTGAACTAACCATGTATGATTGATGAAGCAATTTTAATCAAATTAATTAAAACATCTACACAAATGTTATGGCTATTAAGTAACCTTGTTATCAAGTTTGAAGCGCTCTATGTTTTTGTAAATGATTATACTTCCTTTTTTAATATAATAAAAAAAAATAGATCAGACTTTAAAAGCAATCTTGCCGTTTCTAAAACTAAACATGGAACGGTCTCATATCTGAAAAAACTGCAGGCAGTCTTTCAGTTTTTAAACTCCAACAATAACCAAGTAGGGGTTATTTATTTTGATGATGTGTGAGTTGTGATAGTAAAAGAATTGGAAGAAAAATTAAGTATTACCTATCATAGAAATACATTATTTCAGCAGATTGTTGAACATACATTATATCCCCGACAAATGGTACAAGCTTGTTTTGGCTCCAATGTACATGGACATATGGTGTGAACGCATTTCTCTGACATAAACTCAGTGTTGTTGAGTCATCTGGAAGCAGGGGAGCTCCAGCTGGACTTCAGCTATTGGATGTTGGGAGATATGAGAAAGAAAGAGAATAAAGGGAGGACGAGAAACCAAGAGGGAAAAGGGGAGATTTAAGAGTAAAATCAGACAAATGTTGACAGTGAGAGCTTGTGTTGGTGAGAAAGAGACAGGTGCATAGCTATGGGGAGAAAGAAAGAGAATACAAAGGGGGTAGGGGGGTTGGCAGAGCCAGGCCTTCTGTTGCTGCGGCCTCCCTCTCCTGTCCTCGCTGGTCCTCTGGAGGCTTTCCAGAGAGCCCTGCTGTACTTAATAAAGCCAGTCAAGCACCAGGCAAAGCTCCAAGACCTGCTATTTTTGTATACTTCCTTCAAACCCAGGGCTGGAATTTGAAGAAGAGGGTGCGGGTTAAAGAAGTTGAGATTCAGAATTGAAAAGGTGCTTTAATCGGCTCTGGTTATTGGATTTAGTGAAAATATAGCGGTAACAAATGACAGAAGAGGAAGAAAGTAATCATGCAGTGCTTCATTTCTTTGAATTTGCAGTAGAGACATTCATGTACCTGTAAGCAACTGCACCGTATGGACATTTGACATACATTTCAGCAGAAGCACTTCTGAATATTTCCTCTTTAGATTTTTCTGAGGCAGTGTAGGAAGCGCTCTTCGTTACATTCATTGAGAGGTAATGCTAGGGCCTCGTGGAAGGAGTAGCGGCAGAAATGTTTACGGAGGAGTTGTCAGAACTTGTCAGCTGAGCAAGTAGTACGGAGTCATTGAGTGTGTGTGTGCCTTTAGGCTGGTTTGAAAAAATGTAGTGGTACATGGAGAGGGAAAGAGAGAGAAAGAAGAGAGAGGGAAAGAGGGATACAGAGAGAAGAGAGAAGGGCTGTTGTTCCTCTCTGACCTTGGCTAAGGTTTCATTGAGCCTGCGGTGTCTCATGACCCTGTTTGGATTTAGTACAGGGGCAGAGGCCTGCCAGTTACACTCCTCACCTCTACACAGACGTGGATATTACCGGAAATTATCCCGTTCTTTTGTTCTCTGTCCAAACCACCACAATTAAAACAGGGCAAGTGTACATTATACTTACCGAGATGTGACTGTATTACATTTGATTACGCAAAAGCCTGATCATCGTCACGATACTAGTTATCAGGTTCATTCAAACCAGTCATAACTCTTCTAACGTGACATTTAGATGAACATTTCCTGTTAGACAACATCATAAAACACACCGAGTTTTTTACTGAGGTCCTGATCGTTGGTAGTTGTAGATTTCTCTGATGAGAAGTATCAGGTATTAAATCTGAGCCGCATGCCAGCCTGTCAGTTTGGTATGTAACCCAGAGCAGGAAGCTGCATGTCCTTGAGCAACAAACTCAAGTTTCCTAGCAGCCTGAGCTATGTTTGCCCCTTTATGTGAAGTGCATTAAAAAGAGCTTTCCTTCCTTTTTGGTATACATAATAATGCAGTTGCACGAAATATGGCTGAGTTGAAGAGGCTCTACACCTGCAGCGAACATCAATTTAATGTTTTGTAAGTGCCCCATTTTTAAGTCGCTCAAGGTAACGCCCCTGAATGGCGGCTCAGTTTTCATTCAGGGCATGTGGGGGTCAGTCAGAGGTAAACAAGAGGTTACAATTAGGCCCTGGGTTTTAGCACATTCTCATCATGTCAGCCATGAAATAAAGCACATCAATGTCAGCCTTTGCACCAGGTTCCATCTGTTTTCCTTAGCCTTGCGTAAGTTATTTGTATTGGCGATTGCACATCTAAGTAGGGTGGTGAGAACTACAGAGAGAAAGAAAGAGAAGACGTGATGAAGCCAGGCAAACACACACTCAGATTTATTGACCTACAATGATCTGTTCGCAAAAAGATGCAATAATAACTGACAAGAAGCAGGCTTTTGCTTGTGGCTATTCATTCTTCCGGACTTAAAACAGGACCTGTCAGTTGTTGCTTTTTTACTAGTTTTGCTACTGAAACATACTGAAGGAAGGAAGCGCATGATTTAGCTTTTTAAAGGGAGGTTATTTTAAACCGTTGGGGCTCAGAATTTCGCATTCTGCTGTAAAAGATATTTTTGTAAGGTTTCAAAAACACTATAAAAGATTTATGAGACATTCACACCATTGCGACATGTTAAGCCATGCTGTGAACACAGAGGGTTTCACAGTGCCTTTGCTGACATCAAAAAGCCTTTTTTACACAAAAAAATTGGTTTGATCTGTCACATTATAACTCACAGGTGTAAATAATAAAATGAATAATTGCGGAATCTCTTTTATAAACACTAGTAAGAATGGAAAAAAATATATTCTGTCAAGCAAAGTTTTATTAGGCTAAGTCTTAGGTAAGTTTATTGAGAAGCTGTTCATGGGTATACAACCAGAACTACTATAGGCAATAATATACCATACAAATCAAAGGTACATTACATTACAATTGATGAAAATATCCAACTGCCGTGAAGCATTCCCATTTTGGTGCATGTAAACAGTCTGCAAAGGCTGAAATCCCAAAGTTCACTCAAGTGGGAGTTTTTTCGCCCACAGCCCCCCCTCTGTCCTCCATTGGACTCCTTTGTTTACTTGCGTAACAGAGTGACATCGATATGTAACACACACGCTTCTAATGGCTAGCACTTCAACACATTGTACGTCATAGGCTAAGGGGTGGGACATCTCTACGCGGTTGACCAATCACAGAGCTGGTCAGCTAACCAATCAGAGCAGACTGGGCTCTGGTTTTACACAGGCAGTATGAGAACAATTGAGACCTTTTTGAACATTAGAGCATGTAAGAATGTCACAGTAGAGGAACAAAATTAAAATATGTACCTGAACATGAGCAAAATATGTCCCCTTTAACAAAGTCACCTTGGGTTAACATTGGGTATGCTGTGTATGTGGAAATCTCAATGTAGGCTGAAGGACGACTGAAGGCGCTCCCTCAGACTGATCTGAGGTGTGCTTTATGAGGGAGGCGAGGTGTTTCTTAATCTGTTAGCCAGCAGCTGAATATCATTTAGGAACTTTGGCAGACTTCCATATCTGTGACTTTGTTCTCCTGCACAGGGTGAGAGAGAAAGATATCGGAGACATTACGATGCATCATTGTGTAGTTACTGTATGTCGTTCTTCATATTCGTCTCAATCTTTCCTTCGACACGTCCTTTTTTTATTTTAAGTGCTTTGATGCCAGCATCCAAATCATTATGATGTATAGAGTTTGCGGTAATTTGAACAAACGGCTTGATGAATGAGGTTGGGTTGACACAATGATTAGGCTCTTTAACACACCTTAGCATTGTTGCTCTCTTTTTTTTCAGCTGTCACTGTTGCCTTTTAATCAATGGCTTCCAGTATATCAGTTGTCTTGCCTGAATCAGAGCTACACACGAAAACGAATTACCTCTTGTAATGGTGAAAGTGGTTGTAATGAATTCGCTAAATAGGCTTAAACTGTCAACACAGGAAAAATGTCCAAAAAAAGGCTTCTGTGTGGGAGTCGGAGCATAATTCACTGAGCACCTCTAATTACCCTCTGCACAGTTACACACTTCCACGTTAAAGGAACATACCGGTGGTCGCGCATGGCTTAGCCCATTAACTGCAAATGGTGTTTAATGTGCATTTGCCAACTGCTCTTGTACCATGCATTTTTGGACTGTCCCCCTACACTGCAGATAACCTTATACTCGTTTCAGTATGGTAGGAACATATAAGTTAGGGAGACTTGGAACTTGCTTCAGAAACTACTTTACCCCCGTCCCCCTTTTTTTTCCCACACCTCTGTATTTTAAAAAAACGTATTATTGTATAAGCTAGGTAGTCTAATTTCTGCCTTTTTTTCCGAGATGAATCTAAGATTACAGGAAAAAAGTAAACTCACTGGAATTGACCTTTCGCAAAGCCACGCCCCCCCCTTTGTTGCTAGTCCGACAAGCTGAGAGCCAGATGGGTTAAACAAAGCCATAATGGAGGGTCTCCGTAACGTCGGAGTCGCCTTAACAGACTCATTTTGGAGCAATAACGCAGCAATATCCTCCAGGTCCCGACAAAAGGGGCTACAATACGCTATGGAGGGTTATATCCACAGTATAAACATTAGAAAAGAGGGAGGCACAACATCAATAGAGGCACTTGCATACAGGTCGCAGTGCAAGAGTGAAAAACCACATGAGCTGTATGTCAAATTCGACGGATTATTATTATTATTTTGGAATAAAACAATACAATCACAAGAGGCATTAAATGTTGTAGTTTGTCTAAAGTTAACTACCGTTTCCTTGGTGGCTTTCTGCATCCACCTTGTTGTTCCTTTGTGGGGGTCGGGGTGCCCACTTGTGCAGCAGGATTAGGGAAGTCGGCAGTAGGCTTTCCATTAACAAAATGCTACAAAGATTAAAGCAAAATATAAATGAATGATTGCCTGTTGGCTTTCTTGTTTGTACTTTGACCACAGGTAGACTAATAACGGAGCTCAGCTGTTCAGACATTATTATGCATCAAGTGATATACATGGTCAAAACGACCTAGAAGCACACAGCTTACAGCTGTAGTCGTGTGACTTTAGCTAACGTTAGTTAGTGAAATTAGTTAATTAAATTAGTTAGTTAATTTGTGAATGTAATCTTTGCTAGCTAGCTAGCTACGTTAGCACGTATTTACCTTGGAGCAAACGTATATGTGTTTGTTGATATTCGCCATATTCAGCTGGGCATGGGGCCTGCCGCATTTCTTTATCCACTGGCGGCATCTCTCCTCTCGGGTTTTGGAGAAACCCGCCCCTAAGCTTATGGGATATCTGCTATCCGATTTGCAAAGACCATAAGCACAACGCTTCACCATTTTCGCAATGAATTTGAACGCTAAGCTTGTCGGACTTCCACAGGGAGCCGCGCACGTGATCGAATATGATTGGACAACGGGCATTTAGGGGCGCGGCTTTGCGAAAGGTCAATTGAATCTATAGTTTTTTCCTCCAGGTTTGATATCCTGACATATGAGTTTAATTGATTTCAGCACAAAGTCAGATATCTCAAAAGGAATACAGTCCTTCCTTTTAAAGGCAGTAACCAACAGCAATATTCACATTTAATCATGAAACAACAGCCAACTCGGAGCAGACAATGTAGATCAAATGCTTTATCACATTGTACCAAATAGACATTTTCAAAGCGATATTCATGGGGTGGGAATGTCCCCTTTAGACGTATCCAATGAAGGAAATAGCAGACAAATCAAAGTACCACATCCTATCGACACATATTAATATAAAAATGCTTTGCCAAGAAGTAATATGAGATATGCAAAACATACAATTATTTAATATAGCATTGATTAGTGCTGTTTTTTATGCTGTATGATTATGTAAATTAACCTACCAGTTTTAAACATCTCTCATCCTGTAAATCTTCTTAGTATCCATAAAAGTCTCATATCAAATGTTTTTGCCAAAATTGCTCCATCACACTTCAACCTTAATTGTTGTCCACTTTGTAAATCCGGTTAATGACAGAAGGATTTGTTTTGTCTGCCAGTTCCCAAAGAGGGTCTGAAGAGCCAGGCAGCGTTCGAGGAGATGAGGGTTAATTACATTAAGGAGCTCCGGAGATCAGTGGGAAAAGCAACCAACAACTCTGGCCAAACCTGGCAGCGCTTCTTCCAGCTCACCAAGCTCCTGGACGCCATGCATGATGTAAGTACCCCTGCCCTGTCTGCCCCCCCTGCCAATGGCCTACAGACCAGGCTTCCCTTGGCAGCCCCTCTGTACGACATGCCTTCACACACACAGCGGGCGTGGTGTCCAGTGGCACTTGGGGACATGTCATGAGTGAAATGGCAGCATAGTGGATTAGGGTAAAGATGGAATAAGGATTATTGCATCCCAATCTCTCCCTGAGGGGGGGATGGTTATTTTGGAAGAGGCGTTAACCATCCTGTATTGGAGAATGGAACCGAACAGGATCAATGCCAGCTCGCAGTTTATTGGAGCAGAGCAGAGTGGTCAGTGTAGCAAATGTGCTAAATCACTGGTCTTTTTTATGCATGGGTCAAACATTATGTGACATAACGACCGTGTAGGCAAAGCCTCAGAGAACAGTGTTTTCAAGCGAGAGGTCACAGAGATAAATGGCCAGAATTCAATGACCCACATGACTGAGTGAATGGGGTTAGTGACAAACAGATGACCCTTCTTTAAAGAAAGGTTGACTAGAACAAAAAATCTGGTGCCCCCATGTGGTGAGCTGGAAAGACATGTAAAGAATGTAAACACCTATGCAAATCGAAGCAGTGTACCTATATTAGGGATGGGAATTTGAAAGCAAATGTATATTCAAATATTCGACCCCCCAAAAAACGCTTAACCAATTAACCGAAATGTACATATCCTATAAAAAAATAAAAAAATAAAAAAATAAAATGTGGGAATTTATTTTACAAAAAATAAAAATAAATTTAATTTTGAAAAATAAATAAATACATGTTCAAATAAGTATAGAAACCAAGTCGAATTTGACAAATGTATTGAACTGGTGATCACAGTTTGAACAGTTGACAGCCATAGCCCTACAGCTTTCATGCTTAAAACATAACTTGTTTTTTTTAATTAAAGACACGCACAACATAACGGGTTAGGGTAACGTAACCCTATCACAACAGAGATCAACAACCTGTAACAGGGCCTATGCACAGAATGCAGCTATTCAATACTCATTCTTGTTTAAGAATATGAGCATGTCTACTCAGGGGAGAGGCGGGCGCAGAGGCGATTCACAATCAGGCCAGCTGTAGAGAAGACCCTCTCAGCTGGAATTTGG